GTCCAAATGGCCATTAGCCAATGGATACAGTGTGTATGTGGCAAAGCCAAGAACAGAACCCCAAACTCACGATTCCTAATCCCAGTCAAGGGCTCAGGTTCAGCTGGTACACACCAATATGGTTCATCGGCACATCTTTCAGAATACTGCCTTATTCTCCAGGACCTAACCTGGCTGTTGAAATGTTCTCGAAAACTTGAACCAAACGAACATGCTGCAACGTCAGCCTGTGTGTGCAGAATGTGAACCAACACCTCTGAGTGGGCTTGGGAGAGTATTGCTACTTCTGAAATCCCCCAGTATAGAAGAAGCCAAACCCAAGGAGACTAGCAGAGTCCAGTTAGGCATCTGAGAGCCCCCAAGAGGGAGACAAGCCCAAGGAGTCCAGTGGGGCATGCAAGCCTCACTGAGCAGACGCCACACAAATGGAGCCAATCAGAGCCCATGGTGTATTTGGGCCCCAAGGAGACAGAATCAATCCCAAGAAGCCCAATGAGCATATCTGATTTTATTTTGAACATCTGTACAATGTATGGTGAGCGGCTACTCACGTGGCCAGAACTCACGTGGTGAGTGGAGCTTGAAAGTGCACCCCCTTCTTCTTTCCCCCTCCCCCATCCAATTTCTGACCTTTCTCCCTTGCATTACCTGTAAATTAAACATACCACGCATTCAAAGACTACACCTACACTTAGAGCTAGGGGGGTGCTCATGACCACATGAAAGTTCTCCTTGAGCTAATGTGCTAAAAATAGTAGCGTAGCGATATTAGTAGAGGCAACAGTGAGTGATGGCACGAGGACACACTCATGGGGTCTGGGTGGGTTTGTTCTCGGGGTGGTGAACCCAGGCTGCCACTCATCCCTGGTTGTGCTACCATGGCTACACTACCATTTTTAGCGCACTAACTCAATGAGTGCTATCGTAGATATACTCAAGCAGAGACTCTCACCCCAGCTCCAAGGGTAGATGTAGCCTAGAACTACAGCGATCCCTCTAGTAGCTCAAAATTCCTTGAGCTCAGAGGAGTGGTATGCTTGAAATAAATGAGTTGTAGAGAAGAAAGGTAATGGCACCTTTTCCTGCATCAAAATATGGCATAACTGGATGCTTCCACCTAACTCCCGAGAAACTGCTAAAAAACACTGATCGCTTGGGCGTATGATTTTGAAGAGAGTGAAGGGAATAATAGGACACCGCCTTGGTTTTAATCACAGCGTGAATTAGTATCGTTATAGTAGGCTGGGAGACGAGGGAACGGTCAGCGGTGTCCCGAGGTCACTTGGCGGGAGCTGGGGAACGTGGACCGGTACAATCTGCTGCTACTGACATTTAATTACTCTCAGCGCTGAGAGATCAGCAGCTCAGAGCGCAGAACGTTAGGCATCTGTCACGAGCAGAGGCACGCCGGCTTCCCACGGGTGGAACACTAGCAGGCAAAGCAGCGGGAGGGTGTGAAAGGAGAGAAAACCTTCTTTTCAAACGGAGGCAGAAACTTTTCTCTTTTTTTAAATAAAATAAGACAAAGAAAACGTTCAAGCCGATAGAGTCACTGAGAGCTTTCAGAGTGATATGTTTGGGCCTTGCCAGAGAGTTAGACATCAGCCGTTTCTATAGCTATTGGTACATCCATGTTTTAACAGAAAATAATTAAACAATGTATGTGACTGCATAATAATGGAATTCCACACAATCTGAGGCTGATGTGTTGATTTAAGAGTGATCTACCTCGAACTCCGTAGACTCCTGGAAGTTACAGCTGAGTTGTAGCAGCATCAGCTGTTAGAACACGGTTGGCTTCAGCGGGTACTGAGCAACTCCGAAAACCTGACCAGTATTATACCTGGAACTATAGGTTCAAATCCCATTATAGCTGGCTGAGCTCCTCGTTCTCCCGAGTTCCAGGTAGTGCTAGTGCTTGGGGGGCTTTCAGTTGTGACCGAGTTCCCATCTGCTCGGCATGGGGTTTAAATATTTCATAGAATTTTTTGCAACTAGCAAAGAATTGGGCAAAATCTTCTCTCCCTCCCCAGTCCCATGTGGTGCTGCCCTGGAAGGATTTGTCTATGCTAGGGAACTACATTGAGATTAGCTGCCTTTGGGTGGACCTCGACCAGCTGCATCAAGCCAGATGTAGTCTACAGCAGTGGATCTCAAGCGGGGGTACGCAGAGGTCTTCCAGGGGCTATATCAAGCCGTCTAAATTTCTGCCTACTTTTACAACAGGCTACATAAAAAGCACTAGCGAAGTCAGTACAAACTAAAATTTCGTACAGACAATGACTTGTTTATACTACTCTATATACTATACTCTGAAACGGAAGTACAATATTTATAGTCCATTAATGCTGACGGGCAATATGCAGAAGCTAGCCTGCAAGGTACAGTAATGAATGGAGAACAGTCCCCTTGGATTACTGCTAATCATCTAATGCAGAAGCAACGTAGGAGCCCCATCCTGTGACGGACACACTGCTAGGTGTAGTGCTTGCTACTACTCATTGATTTGTGTGGCAGTTTGCATGCTTCGGGGTTGAAGAAAAATGGAGTAAAAATGCAGTAAGGGTTTACTATTTGGCTCTCTATTTTTATTGTCGGATTTAAAGGTCCAGTTCCTTAGCTGATGTAAATTGGGGTAGCTCTGTTAAGTCCAGCGAGCGATGTCGATTACTCCAGCTGAGGATCTGGCCCTGTGTTATGTCTCCACACAGAGCAGTGCAGATATGATATGCTTTCCACTGGACTGAGAAGGTATCTGTCTCGCAAGCTCTTATCAGACTTTCTGACCATGAGCGCTAATGCTACTTTTTTTGTGACAGATGCATGGCTGCAGTGGGTAGAAATTGTGCCACTGATGTCAATGGGAGTAAGACAGGGCTGATCCCAAAGAATCCCACAGCTCTTTGCCAACTGCATATACAACACCTCTGGGTTGGGCCTTGTCTACAGGGTCTATGAGACAGCAAACCTCCGTGAAGCTTATCTCAATGCACTTTTGACCTTTTTCATACCGTAGACCAGTGGTTCTCAACCTTTCCAGACCACTGTACCCCTTTCAGGAGTCTGATTTGTCAGGGAAGATACAGATTCCATAACTTTAACGAACCTCCGTGACTTCTGCCCCTGCCGCGGGACTGGAGCAGCAGCGGTCAGCCCCCGAGGCTGGAGCTGTGGCAGGGCTGGAGCTGTTCCCCCGGGGCTGGAGCTGTGGCCGGCGGTTGGCACCCGGGGCTGGAGCTGTGTCACAGCTGGAAGGCAGCAGTGGGTCCCAGACTATTAGCTCCAACTCCAACCCCCGCAGACAACCTTTGCCTGTCAATAGTGGGCAGGGGGGTAGAATGAGGGCAGCCGGCTTCAGCAGTGTTACTGAGCATGCTCAATACCAGCCAAGCAGCAAATCGGTGGGGGGGGGGAGCACACATGACCCTCTATGCCCCTCAACATGTCGCCTCTGCCCCTCGGTATTTTTAGTAAAAGTCACAGATAGGTCACAAGTTTCAGTGAATTTTTGTTTATTGCCCACGACCTGTCTGACTTTTACTGAAATACCCATGACAAAATCTTAACCTTAAGAAAAAGTGAAGGTTCTTACTTAGCACTTGGTAAGTCGCTGTCTAGATCAGTGGTTTTCAAGCTTTTTTCATTTGCAACCCCCTAAAAAAATCTGCATGGAGGTCTGGACCCTCTGGAAATCTTAGACACAGTCTACAAACTCTCAGGGATCTGCAGACCACACAGACCCCTGAGACGCAGTCCACAGACCCAACCACAGATTGAAAACCACTGGTCTAGAACATAACAACCCTGCTATTCCAATGCTTTTTATAGGTCACTAGTAAAGCAACAAGCCTTGACATACACTGTTACTCTAGGTGCTGCTTTGAGCAAGGGGATGCTAGGTAGCAGTTCTGTGGAAAAGGACCTAGGGGTGACAGTGGATGAGAAGCTGGATATGAGTCAGCAGTGTGCCCTTGTTGCCAAGAAGGCCAATGGCATTTTGGGATGTATAAGTAGGGGCATAGCGAGCAGATCGAGGGACATGATCGTTCCCCTCTATTCAACATTGGTGAGGCCTCATCTGGAGTACTGTGTCCAGTTTTGGGCCCCACACTTCAAGAAGGATGTGGATAAATTGGAGAGAGTCCAGCGAAGGGCAACAAAAATGATTAGGGGTCTGGAACACATGAGTTATGAGGAGAGGCTGAGGGAGCTGGGATTGTTTAGCCTGCAGAAGAGAAGAATGAGGGGGGGATTTGATAGCTGCTTTCAACTACCTGAAAGGGGGTTCCCAAAGAGGATGGCTCTAGACTGTTCTCAATGGTAGCAGATGACAGAACGAGGAGTAATGGTCTCAAGCTGCAGTGGGGGAGGTTTAGATTGGATATTAGGAAAAACTTTTTCACTAGGAGGGTGGTGAAACACTGGAATGCGTTACCTAGGGAGGTGGTAGAATCTCCTTCCTTAGAGGTTTTTAAGGTCAGGCTTGACAAAGCCCTGGCTGGGATGATTTAACTGGGAATTGGTCCTGCTTCGAGCAGGGGGTTGGACAAGATGACCTTCTGGGGTCCCTTCCAACCCTTATATTCTATGATTCTATGTGCCTAAGCTGTACTAACCCAGGAGGCATGGTGACTCTGACAATGCTCAAAGGCATAATTACTCCCCGGTTTCCTCCGTCCTCAGAGAGGGGATTGTAATTTGCTTCTTGTCTTTTACCCACAGCAACTCCCCATACTCTCTTTGGTGGCTCAGCTATGCTGGAAAACGAGCATAGGGTGTGAAGCAAAGACGCTGTTCATTCTCTAACACCCTCTGCCCTTTTGCTCCAGGGTGGGGACTGCACACTTGGACCCAAAGTCAGGGTATCCCACATAGGGCTGTTAGAAGGGTTCTTACTCCTTCACTCTCCCCTGTATCAGCATAGATAATCCAAGTCACAGTCGAGTGCATAGATTCCAAGTCAAAAAGTAACCATTCCATTGTTGCCGGCCTGCCCTTACCTCAGATGACGTCGGTTTGCAGTAGCCAGCTCCAAACACTAGATTCTCTAATGACATACTGGACTGGTCTGGTCCTGTCTCCAGGCTGCCCTTACCCAGCCACGACCCTTTCCCTGGACGAGCAAAGCTGAAAGGAGAAACAACAGGAAAAGACACTTACTAAAAGTCAGAGTTATGGAAGAGTCGGTTTCCATCCCCACTACCCACCAGGCAGAATTTATTGCAGATTTTAGAAAGTAGTTTTCACAAGCACTGAACTAACAGCACATCTTGTAATAGCATGAAATAAGAAGGGTATTAAGCCACATTAAAAAGTCTTAGGCTTTGTTTTAAAGTGATATAACAAGTCACCACCACACATCTCACAAAGGGAAAGAATTCCATAGGACACAGAAAATATCCAATAGTTGGCATCTCAAATGGTGAAAATAATCTTACTAGGGCCTAGAGTTTAAAAAATGGGAGTCTAGAGTTAGGCTCCTAAATCTGTGTTAGGGCATCTAAGAGTGTGGCCTGTTCTTCTCCCCACAAAGCAATAAGATCCACCACCTCTTGTGTACTCCATGCTGGAGCACGTTTGTGGCCTTGAGTCTCCGGCAAGCTCTCCACGCTGATCAAACAGGAAATGAAAATTCAAAAGTTCCCAGGGCTTCAAAAGTTAACAGGGGAGCAGCTGCCTCCTGTATACCTGGCTGACGTGCTGTGGAGTTCAAAGTGTTCTCCACTGCACAGTGAAGCGGTCACAGCGGAGTACTGTGGCACACCTCCTGGAGCCCAATTCATTCAAATTACACAATGCGATGTCTACACTATCCTCATTTCGACCCATGGATGTCAAATCAAGTGCTATGCCTCTCGCGGACATAGAGTACAGAAGTTGACTTTACTGGCCATTTAGGTCGTGGAAGGGTCTTGGTAGTGTAGACACATACATTACAAGATCAACTTAATGCAGCTTATGTCAACCTCATTTTGTAGTGTAGAACAGGCCTAAGAGTGCAAAGAACTGAAGACACACAATAAGGGTATGTGCACATTTGGAGTGGGAGGTGTAAATACCACCTTGAGGAGACATACCCACATTTTCGCTAATGCAGATAGCACATGAAAAACAGAAGTGTAGTCATGGCAGCATGAGGGGCTAGCCACTTTGAGTACATACCTAGCGTCTTAGGCCATGTCTACCCTACAGACCTTGGTTGATGCAAGTTACGGTCAGCATAAAGCCACCACAGTTAGTGTATTGCTTGTGTGGGTGCCTGCTTGGTTCCTTGAGTCAGTGCCGGGCATACTCACCAGCAGTGCCTGTGCTGATGCACAATGCAATGCACCCTGGGCAGGGATCCCAGCATGCAACCTGCCACCATCCAGCACACTGTCATTTGGGAAGTATGGCAATGCATGGTGGGGCAGAACCAAGTTGCGCAGGGGTGACTGGGAGCAAGGGGACAACTTCCCAGTGTGCAGTGCTGTTCAGAAAACTACAACAGAGACTTTCTTTCCTAGCCGGCAGATTACCACTGGGAATGTTGACATGCCAATCGTGATCCTGGGGGACCCAGTTTACCCTTTGCCCATGAAGCCATACACTGACCACCTCGACAGCACTAAGGAAAGATTCAACTACTGATTCAGCACATGCATAATGACAGGGAAATGAGCTTTTGGTAGACTGAAGGAACGCTGGCATGGTTTACTCACAAGATTGGATCTCAGTGGGGAAAAAAAAAACATTCCCGTGATTATAGCTGCCTGCTGTGTCCTACATAATATCTGTGAAGCAAAGGTGGAAAAGTTACCTCCGGGGTGGAGGTGGAGTGGATGTCCACTGAGTTTCAACAACCAGACACAAGGGCTATTAGAAGAGCTCAATACAGAGCTATACAGCTCACCGAGGCTTTGGAAGAGCACTTTAGCAGTGAGCCACAGTCATGCATTGTGGTGTACTGTGCTCTACCTGGCCTTGCTGCTTTGGGCCTGTGAGGAGATATGTGGTGCTTGGTGTACATCTATGAACATAACACTGTCAATGAACCTATTAATTTTGTAGAGCTTGCTGTACATTTAAGGTTATTACACTGCGTTTTTCACTGACTCTGTGAGTTGTGTCATGTTGGACAGTAACACAAGTGGGTGCTTGTAGAACTGCAAGGCATTCTGCAACATACATTGTGAACTAATGAAGATGAATTATTTTCCAAATAATAGAATTTTATTCAGTAACAAAACCAGTGCAAAAAAAATCTGCAATTTAAAAGAAAATACATTCAAAACTTAATATAATGGAAGAGAACTTAACAAGGGGAAAGAACATTCATGTACATTTTACCTACATATACAGTAACTGTGGTTTTCATAGGTCAGTGTATGTGAAGCTGTGGTTGTCCGTAATGCTCCCAGGGTGGAGTGGTAGGGGGTAAGCATGCGGCCCCTGATGGGGCATGTGGAATGTTGAGGGGGCATGTAGGGAGGTAATGAAATAGAGTCCTTTATGGACTGCAAAGGGAGGTAAGCCTGGGACTGTTGAACCTGGAGGTCCACAAGAGTCTGCAGCATCCGTGTTTACTGCCAGAGAAGCCCCATTATGTCCTTGTGCATCTCCCTCTCCTTCTGCTGCTGGGACTTTCTCCTGTCTGCTCTTTCCTTCTCCAGGCTCTCTGCAATGTTCAGCATCCAGCCTCTTTGCTCAAGGTCTGATGCAGCACTGGCTTGCAGGATCTGATTGACTATGTCCTTCCAAGTCCTCTTCTTTCTACTCATGTGGCTCAGGTGTTCCATGGGCGTGGAGGGGGAACTGCTCAAGGCCACAATGGCAGCAGCTGCAGATTAAACACCAAGAGGTATCATTGTCAGTACAGTCACAACGGAAAGCGAAAGTTAAGATTCAGAACTCCCTTTCCTTGCTCCCACAAAGTTTTAAACAAGACGTGCTTATTGACACTTCTGCTTCAGAGTGCTTGTGCATGGCACTGCTCTAACCATGGTGAGTGTAGCACTCCTGACGAGAGGGAAAGGAGGAGGGAACTGCTTGGTTGTATGAAGCTATGAACAGAGGGCAATGGCACTGAAGACTGGCACCATTTTCCCCAGACGGTGGTGATTTTAGCTGATGTCTCACTCCTGAGGGTAACAAAGGCACAAAGCGCAGCTGCTGCTGGTATCCCAGTGCCGTCCAGGCCCATATGCTACGAGCTTGGATACTGCAATAGCACCTGGCAATGCTTTTGTTGACTGGGGTGCGAAAGTGTCTTACTGCGGAGGAAGAAATAAGGCTGCCAATGCTATACACCTTTGAGAGAGGGTCACGGAGCACTTCCACAGAAGTTTCATTGAGATCTTTCAGGAGGATTCAAGGGACATCCCTCCTCAGAGGTATCCATGGTGGTCTGCGGAGCGATGGTGGGGTCTTCGCCAAGTGTGGCATGCAGCTCTTCATAGAACAGACAGGTGGTTTGGCACCGGATCGACTGCTGGCCTTCCAATACACCTGAAGCAGTTCCTTCGCTTTCACACAGCACTGCTGCTTGTCCCTGTCATGCCCATTCTCCTGCATCCCTCTTGCCATGTGCTCAGATATGTCCACATTTCTACAGCTGGTCCGTAGCTGTGCCTGCATAGCCTCTTCTCCCTACAGGCCCAGGAGATCCGATATTTTCTGTTTAAACCAAGCTGGCGTGCGTCTGGAGCGGGTAGCCGGCATGGTGAGCTGGACAACCACACACAACAATAGAGAGGCGCTAGGTGTGCTCGCCAAACTGGACAATCAGGAAAAAGCTTTTCAAAAATGTGTGGGCTTTAACAGGGATGAGGCCTTCTGGTCTCTGTGACCCTCTGGCAGTGGAGTTAACAATTGTGACCAGGGAGGTCAGGGTTGGGCATTATGGGACAGCGGCTGCAGGACTGCTAGAGTCGACATAAGTAATGCAGTGTCTGTCTACATGCGTGCTGCGTTGACCTCAGTACGTCAGCCATGTCTGAAGATTGGTGTTACTGCGTCGCTGTAATGGGGAACATACATTGGTGGGAGACAAATTTAAGTGTGGACACATGAACGACAAGGTCGATGCGAGGTGGCTTACATCGACCTAACTCTGTAGTGTAGACCAAGCCTTAGAGAGATGAGAATCTGAGGCACAGAGAGACTTAAGTGACCAGCCCAAGGTCAGACAGCAAGTCTGTGGCAGACTAGGAACTGAACCCAGAGTTCAGCCTCTTAACCAAGAGTCCATTCTCTCTCTCTCTCTAGAGCTGCAATGATGTTTATTACATCTCCTCAGGCTTTGATATATTGCTACAAGGACACTCCATAAGGAGGAGAAAACCGCATTGGCTGGCCTTTTGTTTATATGTTTTAACGGATGTGATTCAATCAGTTTTCTGGAGGTTGCTTCTAAGCGGCAGGCAACACTTCAATGTATTTATCCCACCTAAAATGTGAGCTAAAGAAAGGAACTCCAAAGAACAAAGGGACAAACATTGCTCAGAATCACATGACAATGGACAACAGAGTCTGGTTTGGTCTGTTGAAAAGCCTGAATCACACAAAAATGTAAAAGGACTGTCATTGTATCATTCAGAAGCATAAATAAATGATACCTGACAACAAAAAACCTTCATTTGAATATTATCAAAACTCTCAAAGACTTTGATGGAGAGAAAAGCACTTTTTAATGTCACTTTTATTTATTTATTTATTGCTTTACAGCAGAGAAGGGATTTGATTGTGCTGGTCTTATGGAAATTGATTTGGGATGGTACCGTAAAACCAAAAAACCTTTTTTGGGAAACCTTGTTTTCTGAGGAAAACTAACTAAAAAGCTTGAAAAGTCTTGAAGTCCCACTGACGCCTCATGAAGAACATCTTATTTGGAGACAATTCCTGTTAGCTATTATGCAGGTTCATTTTTTGTATTTTTTCTATTTTTTACATTACTTGAATTAAAGTAGAACCTTTGTTGTTTACATGTTTAACTTTCTTCCTGTTTATTAGCGCTGATTGAAAAGCAGAATTCCCATCCTCAGCAAATTCTTATAATTCAACACTAGATTTTGCCCCAAATCAGGACAAAAAGTTGAAATATCTTGTTTGTGTGTTTGTTACACAGAACAAAAAGTTACAATAAATTC